GTGGACAGGACATCGAGTACGACATCACAAACTACACAGACTTGTACCACTTCTTCCAGAGTAGTGGCGTACCGACCTCAAACCACTTCGTCGCCAATACCGCCGCCCTCCTTGCCAAGAGTCTCTACCAGAATCCCGACCCCCAGGATGAGAAGACTACTACAAGGACTAGACTTTTTTTTTCTTTTTTTTTTGGGTGGGGGTGGGGTGGTGGGGGTGGGTGGTGGTGGTGGTGGTGGTGGTGGTGGTGGGAGGTGGGGGTGGGGGTGGGTGGGGTGGGTGGGGTGGGTGGGGTGGGTGGGGTGGGGGTGGGGTGTGGGGGGGGTTGCACTTCTTTATTTAATCATTACCCTTTTTTACCCTAATAGTACAAGTGCTTCCCCGTGTGCGAGATAGGCTTAAGTCGGAAAGCGCACGTTATATCTCCGAGGTACCTATCTACCAGAACTCTATTTGCTGTTCTGGCAATACATAAATATATGTAAGTTACGTACATGGGGAGGCTAGATTATTTACAGCTTACAGCAAAATAGTGCAAATATTATGTTCAATAAAAGAAAACGTTGATAGATCTATAACACACTTTTTGTACTATTAAACCAACTGTGGACTTTTAAGACATTTTCGCTTATTGTAATAACATCTAGCTAACCAATCATGTCTATCTCTGAAATCCACAAGGATAGTTGCTGTCAAACCTAAAAAACATATTCAGGGAGGTCAGTTTTGATTTGCCAAGCACCTTAAGGTGAGTTTATTTTTAAACTGTCAAAAGCGATTGTCCCTTCAATACTAGTATATGTCTGGAAGCTGTCTCTCGGACTGTTATGAGTTATGATGTATTTTATGATATAACTGGGGAATGTTCAAATTAGTTGCTGTCGTTTAATCCAACGTTCTAACTGTCAACTGTCTCAACAGGATCATAGGTTTGGTTATATATCTCCTCCCTGTCTCTATGTCTTAAGTTGTTAATCCGTAACTGCGGTCCAAATGTATCAACTTATTCATCTATTGTTGCAAACTTGACTGATTTAAACATATCTTATTGATCATGAACTACTCAGTCAGTCAAGCACCTGTATCAGAAATGTAAAACCAGCCATGTTTCATGTAGTCCCAATATCACTGAAAAATGCCGATGTAACGTGACAAATAAATTTACTCAGAGACAATATATTTTTCGTGAGAGTGAAGCACAATTTTATTAAAGTTTTATTAACAATTTCATAAACTATAATAATATTAATATTAAAATTCATCATCACTTGCCAAGTTTATGAAAATGTCACCATTTGGGAGATGTCACATATAAACAAGGATTCGAACTAAGTTTGATCGTCTTTGACACTGAGGTTTATCCCCACTTTGCCAGCAAACTGCAGAAGATTAACAGTGAGTGAGTGAGCATCGTTTCTATGTTTATACAAGAAAAGATGTCATGCCAAAAACGCTCACAGTAGTTAGTAAGTAAACTCACGACCTGTCATGACCTGGTTGAGTGACTTCCTCAAATGAACGTGAAAGGATTACCCACAGAGAAAGAAAGGATTAAAGTCACCCATAAATCTTATCCTAACGTAGTACTCCAACTTCTAAATGCCTCTCAAAGAAGGATTAAAATCCTAAAGATATCCTATCTACGTGGTATAGGTACTCACAACCTCTAATAATAAACTGTTACGTTTGGTATCCCCAGCAATACTCACTATGGTAATTGGGCAAATGTAAAAATCACAAACCCTAACGAGATTCTGTCTACATGGTCACACCCGGTGATTGTGAAGATCTCAAATTTTATCAACTGTCAGACAGCATGGCTGTTCATATTCATTTACAACATCCTATTATAATTAGTATAAAAGTGTCCCACACAAAACCTTCTTTTATTTATTTTTCAAAATACAACACAGAAAGTTGGGTGTGGGGAAATGGGACATATTCCTACGTGAAATAATGAGACATTAGTAGTGGTGACGGCTATGTCATAATTGAACTGTCTAAAGCATAAATTTGGCAAACGAAAAACGTTATATTTGCAATCAAATGGAATGACTCGTGTGGGCAAATGAATATGTTCGCAATCCACAAACAATTATTTTATTAATGGCGAACATTTACCAACCCGCGACAATCGTGTCAACACGGGGGTTTCTTAGCAATAAACTCGCATCTAAATTCACTACTGTTCTACTGTCGGCTAGCCACAACGGCTAGACTGGACCCTAGTGGAATGGTTCATGCCATAAAAGTCTAGCAACCGAACACTAATTAAGATGGGCCGACCTTGTATTTACGGTCTGGTGAACACAGCTCAATGGCCGCTCATTAACTCAAATTTCATATCTCACTGTTTTGTTTTATTTCACTATTCATTTGATAAATTTGTCAACTTCAACTGGAACCCGGTCCCGTGTTACACGCGTGGCACACGCGCGTGCAACGGGTTGCACACGCGATTCACACCCGTTGGACACGGGTGTGCAACGGGTGTGATTCGCGTGTGCAACCCGTTGAGCACCCGTGTCACATGCGTGTTACACGCGTTCTCAACGCGTGTTAGGGGAATGAACTTTTAGGCAGTAGTGAGAGGGGGAGTGATTGGTAGCGGTAAAGGGTAAAGGGTAATCATAATATACACATCATATGTTTTATTCTCCAAATATTAAGAGTCCTGTTTGTTATTGCCTTATACAAAGGGTAAGTAAGTAAATTGCAGTGGTAGGAGTTAATGTATCAAGGAGGCTCGTAGGTATAGTATACCGGCTCCACATGAGGCGCTGAGCTAATTGTGTGTGGGTTAAGTAAAGGATAAGGTACGAGGTGAGGTCTTTGTGCCTTGATGTTGACCTGAGGGGGTCGGGATGGAAATAAAGACCGAGGGGCGTCAGAACTGTGCCATGTATTATTGCATATAATCGGGGAGGGGTTACTAAGGCGACGAGCGGTTGGCAGCAAGGTGAACGATCTGTGATGATGTACGCTGACACATACTATTAAGAAGTGTGAGTACGTGAGTATGGTTTTACGCCACTTTACAGTATTCCAGCAATATCACGGCGGGGGACACCAGAAAGGGGCTTCACACATTGTACCCATGTCGGGAATCGAACCCGGGTCTTCGACGTGACGAGCGAACGCTTTAACCACTAGGCTACCCGACCGCCCCTATATCAAGAAGAAGACAAGGGGTACTGAGTAACAAATTAAACCCTCGTTGAATTCCTTAAACTGACTCATACGACAGGTATGAAGTCTTGGGAACTGACGACGCTTTAGAGGAAACGATACAAGTAAACGAATGTAATCTTTCTTATCCGTGTCGTGACTCTCGTAAGCGTTTTGAAGTCTTGACACTATTGACGTCCACATTAATTCGTTCTGTCGCTGGAGTGCATGTATACATAGCCCAGAGGGTGTGGAAATTCCTTGCATGAACCGAGACACGATTTTCGACCCACGGTTTCTTGCCAATCATTTATCTCCCTCTGATGTAAAACCTTTCAATATCAATTTAGTTTAAGCTGGAAACGTGATTGCCGTTTTGTTTGTTTGATTTCTTGTTTAACGCCTCATTCAGTAACATTCCAGCTATATGACGGCGGTTTCTAACTAATAGAGTCCGGGCAAGACATTCCAGTGATTGACATCATGAGCATCGATCTACGCAATTTTGTATACGATGGCATGCAACCACGTCAGCGAGCCTGACCACCCGATCCCATGTTTATTAGTCGCCTGTTACGATAAATGTGGGTTGCTGAAGACCCATTTTCAAGGGTGACGTGATTAATACATTATACACAAATCGTATATTACCGTAAAATTCTCCCTCGGCAAACATCGACTTTGATCGCCTTGTTTCAAGGGGAGGTAACCATTTCTTCGCGGGAAACGAACACTGTCGTCTATAGGAGACCAAACAAGTAATTTCTATATAAAAAAAAACACAAGCCGATCTGTCTATTCTTTAAGCAAAAACAACAAAAATCTAAATATTTCATATTGAAATATTTGAATGTATTATACAGGAAAGTGTGTTTCAGTGATCACAATGACTTCGTATTCTTCTCTCATAATTTTCAAACATATTTCTTGCTTCATTTTGTGTCACATAATATTCGCAAAATTTAACAAAGCTGACATTTCAACTTATTGAATATGTCAGGAGTTTATATAAAGTTTTTAAAGTACATATTAGCCATGGCATTATTCAGTATTTTATTACGTCTGTATTTCTATCTATAGATTTAGGCACCTGACCGCGAGATTCAGTCGCTGATCACATGATTCTGTGAGGTTCTGTGAGGTGAGGTGAGATGGGTTTAACGTCGCGTCCAAGATTATTGCACTTATGTAGCGACGTGCATGTACGTGTGTGTGTGTGGCTGCTTGTACTAGTCCGGAATGATGCCGATTTATAGTGCTAGCTCACTGAGATACCATGCCGCAGTTTAACATGAATAACCCACTCAGACACAGTATACTGACTCAGAGCCCTTAATGCCGAGCGCCAGACAGGGTAACAACAAGTACCATCTTTTAACGTCTTTTGGTATGACGCGGCCGGGGATCGAACCCCGGACCTTCCGCTCTCCGGGCGGACGCTCTACAACTAGACCACGGAGGCGGTCCCATGACACTGTGAATCAGATGATTCGCATAGACAACCAGACGATCTTCTCCGCCCGACCAGTTATGGCAAACATTTTAAGCAATAAGTGAATCATTTTTGATGAATGTTTATTCAAAGAGCTTGCTTGATTTCCTTGTTTCGAAACGCTATTAATCATTCTCTCTCTGAAATAACTATGACAGGTGCGCGCCTTTCTATGTTTGCAACGTAAATAGGCCTAGGTCCTGCCTCAAGAAACACTTGATACACATAGATATTGATATCCAGGTCAAAAGTCGTATTGTGTTATAGCTGATATCAACACTCAGTCACGTGAGCATGATAGTGCTGACACTATAGACGAAATATCCCTTATGAAATAGTCAACACGGTCGTCAGAATGACCTCGCGGTACATGTATTTCCGTGCTTGCCTCTCTTGGCTATTCCTGATACTGAGTGAATGTGGAACTAACGTCGGTAAGCGTGTTAGTGATGCCTCGTATACATTTACCATTCTACATATGTGGCGATTGTAGATCACATCCGATTATCACATACACCACACAGCAATAAGTCTAGTGAGTGAGTATGGTGGACATACACCGCTTTGAACAGTATTTGAGTCAGCGGCTGGAATACCGCTCTACATAAACGCAAATTTGAAAATCTTTGATCGACAGTGACAAAAATGATGTCGGATGCAATTCCCTATGTTGATTTCTATCATATGCTCACGAATGTTTTCAGGTGAACAATTGACTTGCCTTCGCATGTGTTTGTTTGTGAACAGTATTTGAGTCAGCTGCTGGAATATCACTCTACATAAACGCAAATTTGAAAACCTTTACGCATCAGTGACAAAAATGATGTCGGTGCAATTCCCTATTTTGATTTGTATCATATGCTCACGAATGTTTTCAGGTGAACAATTGACTTGCCTTCGCATGTGTTTGTGACGGATGTACCCGTGAGGCTGAGTACGATCAGCCTTTCGCTAACACCTGGTATCATCACTATTTTTGTAGTGATGTTATGTTACTACGCTTTTCAGTCCTACCAGATTACACTGACACGTCGTGATATATATGCCTGAGAATACACAGTTTAATACAGTTAAAACGACGTTCAAACCAGCTCATTCACCTACTCTTAATCTATACGTTGTGGTCCCCAGTACAATCGTCCGGATCAGTGTGTGTTATTGTTGTTTAACGCCGCACTCTGCAATGCTCCAGCTATATGACGCCGGTCTGTAAATAATCGAGTGTGCAGCAGACAATCTAGTGTCTTATTGTGAGCAGCGATCCACGCCGTCGGGGTACGTTGACGCCCCAACAACCAACCGAACCTCACCACCCTCTTTAAACTAAACCCTCTTATAACCGGCATACGTTTTCAGGGAGCAATTCTAACCATGGATCCCCATGGGTTCCCAATACAGTCGCCTCTTACGCCTAGAAATGGTGTTTGGGACACATTCTATCCCGGATCCCAACAGTGGTAAGGAATTTCCGGACTAAGGAATCATGCATGTCTCAGGAGTAATGTCGACGTGTCAAACATTGATTGCCGGAAATAGGGTTTTCCGGATGAACGAGATTTCGCTGTCTGTAAATGTTGATCCTGATTGCCATTGTCATTGCCATTGTTTTAAAAATATGCTTATATTTTCACAGCTGAAACGTGTTCAAATTATACCTGCGGGGGTATCCTTGATGCTTCAAACACGCCCCAGGATTTGATGTCGCCCGGATATCCTGTCGGTTATCCAAAATAAGCAATCTTGAATATAAACGCTGGAAACAGGTTCCTCATTTTGTCATAAATTTTTTGAAGCATGTTCAACACGCGTCTCTGTTACTGTTTAAGCGCTAGCATCGTAGGTAAGTGGGCTTATACGTTTTAACAAGGAAAGGCATCAGATGGCAGGCACCAGTACGGGTGTGCCTGTCATCATAGCACATCTAATTAGACATCATTGTTGAGGGTTTCTGCCCGGAATCCGCAACCATAAATACCTCGTATTTTCTTGGCACACAGCTTGCAGTAGAGTGAGTGTAGTCCTGTTAAATTGAGCGTGATGTCAGTATGGATGATCAGCATCTTTATTGCCGTGTTATTGTGGCGACATTTCGGTATAGATTCCAATACCATTCGATTGGCTTTATCAATTGTGTGATCAGGTTGTTTCGATTGGGGTGTTCCTTGTGACTGATATGACTAAGACATTGTTTTTTTAAGGCGACTGGATCTCTGTCTCCTTATATATATAAATAATAATGCAACACAAAGATGCAAGAACACGCACATACATATGCAGGTGTGGATGGGGGATTACCACCTAACGAGGTCGTGATGGTACAGTCCGTTTTGTTCCAGTAACTGCACGTGTACCTGGAGCATCAGAGCACCTGCACAGAATGACATGATACGGATTGTGGTTCTGGATTCTATACTTGAGAATGAGATGGAATGCAAATATGACTCTGTCAAGGTATATGACGGTGAGAGCTAACTGTAGCGCTGTTAGAGTTATTATATTTAACATGCACCTCAAGGCACCTTTATGTAGATAATGAATGTAGTGGCATTTGAATAGGCTGAAAATGTGCCCAATAGGTTTTCTAACGATTTTTGGAAAATTTAAGTTTTATAATTTATGTTCCGTCCAGCATTGGTTATGCTGAAATCTGATTACATAGGAGTTTCAAAGAAAAGGGAAATTAAATAGGTTTTGTGACTTTCCTTTTGGTATGGTGTAATTGATTAATCTGTAAAACCATGTAACGAGAAGTCCACATCATCATAGTTATCATCGCAACTGCCTGTCTTTGCGTACAAGTAAGATGCTTTGAGGCTGCAGTCTAAATTCCCAGCTGATTGTTAGCTGATATTGTACCACTTAGTGCCTTGAGATATAGGGGATATGTGGCTTGTTCTTGTAGGGTTCAACACCAGCACAAGGCACATGAACACGTGGTGCGGGACGATGACTCCAACTATTCAGAGCAGGCTCAGTGCGATGACTCTTCACTTCACTACCAACGCTAACAGAACATATAAAGGATTCAAACTGCAATATTACGCAACGACAGGTACACGAACGAGATAATACTTTTATAGGTATAACTTTCATTGAATGTGTGTATAATCCCTACAATTACTCAATACATATCAGTTGCATGGTAGCTTGAACACACAAAGTAGACATAATAGTTTGGTTTATCCAAGAACTATTTTCTTACTTCCAACATTATTATGAAGTATTATAGTTAATACTCAGTAGAACCACATATGATACCTATAGGCACATGACCCATATTTCCTACATTATTAATAAGTATTATTCTTAGGAAAGTACTTCTCAGTACCACATATGATGTCCATAGGTAATTGATAATTTGTGCTGGAGAAGGCTAAGCTAACTGATTAAGTTATCAATATTAATATTTTCCGTGGCTAATAAGACCATTAATGAGGCCCATTAGCATTGTATTACTTGTAAGGTGCTAGACATGACTTACCAACTCGCTCACATAATCATAGTGATTTCGAGTTAATGCGGTTTTGAACTGTACTTCCTCTTTTGTACTGGTTTCCAATGCGCCATAAAATACGAACAAAGAGCTATGTATTACTTGGCCTATCAAAACCCTGTCTCAAAAAGTAACCATAATCCTCAATGCAATTAAGTAGGGTCTTTCTTTATGTTCACAGAAAGTATTTGAGACGAATGGAATTAATACCATCTTGATTCTCAAAAACTCATAGGATTTTCTTGTCTTTTCAGTCTCAGAAAGTAACCAGATTAAACACTGTTAAAAAATATTAACTTTAAACTTTGTACACCACTATCCCAAACTAAAAACTTGAAGAAAAGCTTCTTTCCTTCATACATTGGGCTGTTGGACAAATGGTTAATTCCCTTCTACAGATTTACCCACCTGAACTTGACACAAAGGAGACCAGTGAGACTGCTTCTTCTGTTTTCATATTTGGTCTATGCATAAAGATTCAGACTCGTCACATGACTGTATGTATGAAAAGGGATGACCTCAACTCTCCAATAGTCAACTTTTCCTTTATGTCGAGCAATAGTCCTGCAGCTCCAGCCCTTGGTGTCTACATTTCATAACTTTTGAGGTACAATTGATCAAGCTCTTTTTACCAAGGTTTTAAAGAGCTTCATACAACTATTGCTCAGCAGTTGGTCAAGGTTATAACATTTTAGGCCTCAGTTAAGCTTTCATAAAGTTTTATGGAAGACGTGGAGGACATTTCCAAATTTGATGCATCAGTGACAAAACTTCTGTCCGATGCAATTCCCTATTTTGACTTGTGCCATATATTCCTGCTTTTTTCAGGTGAACGATTGCCTTGCCGGAAGTGGGACAGGATAAGCTTACTTTTTCGCGAACACCTGGTATCATCTCTATTTGATAGTGATTCATAAAAACATGCTCCTTATATAGATGGAATCGTTCAATCGACTCTGTTTTGGCAGACATTTCTTATGAATGTGGAAAGGGTTTTGTCGCCTTTATTTATATCACTGCGTAATGAAAGAGAAAGTCTAATGTCTTGTGAACCGTAGATGTTTACCACTTTGGAGGAAACCAAGAGCACGAGTACCACTGGTACTGACAAGCGAGGGATCTGGGATCTGGGATTCGAATCCACCACCTTTTGATCATGGTACGGCAAGATGACTGAACTATGCACAGCGACTTGCGACACCTTAGACATCCAGGACACCACTGTCCCCATATAACATTAATGTAGATCTCCTCAAAAGAGGCAAGTCAAAGGTGAATCGAATCTTCGACATTCATTCCTTTGCCTATGTCTGCCTAATAATAGGGGGTGGATATACACTTTACATTTTATAGGGGATTACTTTAGTTACATTTCACGAACACCTGGTATCACAACTGTGTGATAGTCATTCATAAATAATACTTATGATATAGTCAGAATCGTACAATGGACTTTTAGTAGACACTTCTTATATAAAAAATGATTATGGAAAAATACATTGTTCACATATCGCCGCCAAAGTCAAATGTTTGACATTCATTCCTTTGCCTTATATCTCGAAAGTACCTCTGACTGTTTACGCTCTATAAGCAAACTATGCATAATTATAAAACAAAAGAGACATTATGACAGAAAATGTATTGCTGGGTATACAGTTGATCTGACAAATACCTGGCTTGGTTTTATTGCCAAAATGACCACCAGCGTCATTTGAACTACTTACAATTGTTGTGTCATCGACCCTGTTTTATCACTTTCTTAAAGAACGAAATCCTAAAAATGTTGATCAAATCATTCATTTCAGAGTACTACCACTGTGGAACAAATCTGACAGCTAAAACGTCACCTCAGTTTCTGACAACTCCTGGGTATCCCAATATGTACCAAAAGTAAGAGAATAGGGGGTGCATATACAGGTTTATATTTAATAGGGGATTACTTACATTTCAACCTGGTATCATCACTTTGTGATAGTCATTCATTAATAATACTTATGATATAGTTAGAATCGTACAATGGACTTTTAGTAGACAGCCAAAGTCAAATTTAATCCCGAAGACTATAGTGTTTTAGCGTTACAACGCAATCTGCTCTGGTGTGTCAAAACATGCTCTCAATTAATCTGGGATCTCGTTTCAGTGAAGCTCGGTGTCGTTGGATTATAGCAGCTCCTGGCGAAAACAAAGTTCAGATGCGGGTCATTCATTCCAATATAGAAACCCAACTGTTTTGTAGACATGACTGGGCAAGAGTGTTGGATGGTATGGCTGTGTTGGCGTTTCCAGTAACAGCAATATGTTGTATTTGCAAGAACGTTTTTAATTTTTCCTACATTATTAAGATACATTATATTTCCTACTGAGCAGTACGACATATACTGCCTACACGTATACGGAACACACAAATAAATACAGATCATGAATCTGTTGGGGGATATTTTTATGAAATTATGTGTTCAGTCTCACTACAAAATCATATCTATAAAAATATTCATGGTCAACTTACATTGTTCAGTACACATTCTGACATTTTGTTCTTGCGCAGCCTTAAGCTTGTTGATAAAATAATCACTCTTAATTATTATCAAGTTACTAAGTACGGCGTCATACTGACTCACCAACTCACTTAATTTGAGTGAATTGACTTTAACGCTGCATTGAACAATATTTCAGCCACGGTGTGTCAATATGATGTGAGAGCAATGCCCGAAGAGATACAAGCAATGCCCATGTCCCAAACTACTTTGACGTCGCTAACAGGCATTCCCTATTTTCACCAATGGGGTTCATGGCCATAACTGTACTTCTGTCAAACCTAGTTACATATCCATTGTAACTATCTGATATATGTTTATTTGTAGGCAACTCTCTCACGTCACCCAAACTCGGAACCTTCTGTGGCTTTAGGACACCTTCCTACAACAGCACTGGAAGATACCTCCTCATTGAATTTCATTCGGATTCGACAAGAACATTTAAAGGCTTCAAGATACAGTATACCACAGAGGCTGACAAAAGCAGTGCACACAGTCTTACATATAACTTAGTGTTGTTAATCATCTTATATATGTCACTATAAGAAATGTGTCATATCGAAAATACATTACACGTGTATGAGCAGATGTACTCATAATAATTGTATTCAACATATTTTACTCAACAATTTTTTCCTGACAACTATGTACATTTTATGTGATAACGTTCTATTTAAAGTATATCGATGCAATCGGAAATCAATATAGCAGTTAACGAGTGGGATAAGTCTGAGTGACAAAAGTTTCAGAGAACGAGTGTGTTTAACGCCGCTTTTGACGTCATGTCAGCCTCTTTTTGAAGGGAATCCCAACACGCGCAAGTCTCAGACATTTATATATTACCATTGTTGTGATGACTTGGTTGATGTATATCATCGATCCTAAATGCGTGGATCGATGCTCATGATGTCAATCACTGGATTGTCTTGTCCAGACTCGATTATTTCCAGACCGCCGTCATATAGCCGGAATATTGCTGAGTGCGGCGTTAAACAACAAGCAAACAAACTAATGTGGTGCAGCCCACGAACACGGGTATGGTGATGACGAATGTAAACCTAGAAACACGATCAGGGCGAATCAGGGATTGGAACCAATGGCCACGACTATCGTCTCTTAGACGAGAAGGCCAAACCTACCATCATGTCGAATAAAGATTATGTTTTCATTTTTACAAAATAAATATACCGTCGACGTTCTGTTGTTTCCAATGTTTACCCATCGTTCCTTCACCATCGAAATGTATTCTAGGCGTTTCGGTTTCCTTCACAATAGCCACATAGTTTCCGAAACAGCACACAAAACTTTCGAATTATGAATTATCTCTTGTCTATTATTGTGTCCAATTTTCGCTACAGACAATTTCTATGTACCTGTTTACTTCATGCTTTTTGACGGACTACTTAATTTTGCTTTTTTCATTTAAACTTCAATCCATTTTCCCTGTTATTATTGTGATTATTGACAATAAAATTACACCAGTGCCAGGTTTTCCATTATATTACTCACAAAGCAGTCACTAAATATATAGTTGTCCTACTTACCTTCATCGCCTGTCATTTTACATCAGGTGCGGTCGGGTAGCCTAGTGGTTAAAGCGTTCGCTCGTCACACCGAGGACCCGGGTTCGACTCCCGACATGGGTACAATGTGTGAAGCCCATTTCTGGTGTCCCCCGCCGTGATTTGGCTGGAATATTGCTAAAAGCGACGTAAAATCAAACTCACTCACTCACTAACTCACTCACTCACAGAACATCATGTGATGTATTTCAGCATATCATGTATTTGAGTACATTATTAAACTTGTGGTAAAAGTGACTTGGTTAATTGTACCCCGACTGTGCAGATCGTTGTTCGTAATATCAGCAAATGATTTGTCTGGCTCCGACTTAAATATTTACAGGCTGGCGTGATATGGCTGGAATATTGCGTAAAACATCACCCACACTACCACAGGCGGTTGACTTAATCTCTTCACGTTGGTTCATGTCATGGGATATGTCTTCACGCCACAAGGAGTCATATCAGTGATAATATGATGCACCTCGGATATAAATTGTAGATGGTATTATCACTATTTGACTGTGATTCATTACCACATGCTCATGATTCAGTCGGAAACGTACAATGAACCCTACCGTTAGCAGAGATTTCTTTGGGTTATGGAAATGTGTTATATTTCTTAAATTGGAGATCCGTAATCTGTAAGACAATGGGAGTATAAAAATAGAACATCTAGTAAACTAAATATCATGGTATGATTACAAACTGTTATTAAACGTTTATTAATATTGATAGGACCGCCGTCATATAGCTGGAATATTGCGGCGTTAAACAACAAACAAACAAATATTAATATTGATAGACTATGGAATATAGTTTCTTAAAAATACGTAGGATATTTATATTCACGTTAAAACTTACAGCTCATGCAGTTATTTTTTTCTTGGTTTCAAGCCGGTCTGTAAATAATCGAGTCTGGACCAGATAAACCAGTGATTCACATCATTAGGATCTGTCTGCGCATTTAGGATACGATGACAGGCATTCAACCAAGTCACCGAACCTAAATACCATTTTATTAGACTTGGCATACATCGCTGAGGACCTTTTCTTATTCGGAACCAGTAATTAGGATGCAGGTCGTAGACCTATGATTGCTGTAAGCGGCGGTTGATAATAGCGTGGTTAGACTTGATGACATGGTTGATTCTGCGTCACCGTACCCACACGGAGTAGAATGCTGCTCATAATATCAGCCACCAGTTTGCCTGGGTCTGACTATGACTATTATTAACAGGCCGCCTTCCTATCGCTGGAATATTTCTGAGTGAGGCAAACATCAAACAAACAAATTATCAGCAGGTCTTCGAAAGGAATTTAGAAGTGATACACACAAACAAGTGAATTTATGGATGTCAACTTCTTTATTATGAGGCACACAACGTTTCGGAGTATATGCTTACTCCTTCACCTGGTAAGGGGTAAACAGATACTCCGAAACGTTGTATTCCTCATAATATAGAAGTTGACATCAATAAATTCTCTTCCTTATTCCTCATAATATAGAAGTTGTCATCAATACATTCTCTTCCTTAAATTAGATTATTAACAGTTAAGGAATGTTTGTATTCAGTTTTTAGCAAATTTATTGTACCTAATAGAGTCGATATATTTGATTTAATATCATAGATACAAATATGAAATTTTGGAGCTCGATAGTCACATGTTGTCGTTGTACGAAGGCATTGGAAACTGTTCATTGTCATGTCACACAAGGCCAGAAGGTTGCGTTGTATCTCAGTATCTCGTGTGACCGCCCCTTGCAGCAATCACCGCTCTGCATCTCCTCGGCACTCACTCAACAATTGTACGAATTCTGTCCTGCGGAATTCTACCTATTCTGCTTGTAACGCGTTGGCCAGTTGTGGGAGTGTCTGCGGCGTGTTCTGACGTTGACATACACGTCGATCGAGTTCATCCCAGAGGTGTTCGATTGGGTTGAGGTCTGGAGTTCTCGACGGCCAGGGCAAATCGTTGATGTTCGCATTATGATGGTAGTCTACCTTGATACGATATGTGTGCGTTGGAGTGTTGTCCTGTTGAAAGAACTCCCTCTGGCGATCAGTGATTGGAAGAAGGTGAGGTTAAAGAATTTGATTCATGTTGCGATTTGCTGTCAAATGTCCCTTGATCACAACTAAGTCAGATCTCGTGGTGTAGGATATGGCCCCCCACACCATGACACTACCGCCACCGAAATTGTCGAATCTACGTACACAATGTGGGGCAAAATACTCATTTCGACGACGATAACACGTTGCATTCTATCTCGTCGGTGAAGAAGAAATCGTGATTCATCGCTAAACCACACTCGTCCCAAGTTTCTCAAATTCCATGACTGTAAGGTATGGCACCGAGGCAAGCGTCACTGTCTATGGATCTGTTGCAAAACAGGGACGATAACTGTTCCTCTGGGTCGGATTCCAGCCTCGCGAAGATGGTCTGGTCCGATATCCTACTCAGACAAGGGAAACCAGTCTCCGTAGCGATGACGTAAATGGAAGAGTCGAATGTAGCGATCCGGTGCTGGGATGGTAACTCTTGGTCGGTCGGTTCTCGGACGGTCTGGAATTGAACTGTGTGTATCAGTCACAAAAGCGGCAAATGGTGCTGTGGTGGACGTTGGAATGGCGTGCAACAAGATTGCGATACCTCTCTTTGGATACGTCCCATGGCGATGTTCCGATCGGCAGCGCTGAGTCTCAGCATTTTCGAATTTGAACAATGTTGACAACTGAATGATAAATTATTGGCTTATGCTGTCCTTTTTATAGCCACTACCACGAGATACGAATGCCATAGCTTGCACGTGCATTTTGCTTTACTGTTACCATGACATTTTTGAACAAGTGTGAAAACAATGCCGTTTAAGTCATTGCAAATCGACAATGGCTGCGTTTTGACGCACCGTTTGTCGAATATTAGAAATGGTTCGTTAAGCACAAGTAACAACACGGTGAAACTTAAACTGGTATTTGATAACACCGTACCAGGACACAAACTCAGACACTAAAGCATGTAACTACATGGTCGGAAATAGAACAACTGCTACTGACATCACTTGGGTAACGCCTATATCTATAACTTGTTATTTCATATTGGGACACGGGTGGCCACCCGCCTGAGGCGCAACACATCGCTGTGGAGAGTCGCGGCCCTTGGGCGTGCCAGATCCAATGATCGTGGGTTACAGTCCAAGGTTCATTGTTATTCTTGGTTTGCCAGCATCGTACTCGTGAAGGTGAGATTCACCAAATGGTAAACGTCGAAGACCAGGCACTGATGTGCCTGGTGTGGCTGGTGTGCCTGCTCCAGACTCGATTAAAGGTTGTGGTTTAAAAGCTGGAATATAGCTGACTGCGGAGTACAAACAACATACGCTAATTCACATGTGTATAGTTACCTATGTATAGTTTTACTACATTTTCTCACCCGTCACTTACCCTAGATTAGTCTACATCCATTAACAGCATAACAGCACAGCTAGTTTTTAAGGAGTATAAGGATATGAAATCGCGAACAACAGATTTACTTAGCCTCAAGAAAAAGGCTTTCACATCAGAGGCTTTGTTTCAAAATGGCAGACTGAAACGGTGGTACCCCCTTTGTCAGCAGGCATAATGAGTGAGTGAGTGAAAATTATCGTCACATCGGCAGTATTTCAGCCATATCGCGACGAAACAGTTATAATAATTACATTTTGATTTAATAAAAAGCTGTCAACGATGGACAGTAAGATAACTAGAATATCACAGGTTCAATAGTAAAACTAGTTGAGAACAGTTAAAACAATACATTTATAATCAACAAGACAATATAAAATTGGGCTATAAATCACCAGCAACCAAAGTTAGGCCACCTTACAAGGGACCGAGGGGACTTACATTACTTTTGCTACCTGCACGGCTCCCCAGCAGGATTTACACCAACCCTTTAGCTGCTGGTAATGGTATGCAATTTTAGCCAACCATTAAAAGAAACAAATATACTACGTTGTAAAACCGAGGTAAGAATAAATGTACTTTGAATGATGTGGTCTTACATATCCTCTCAGGGGGACAATAATTTTACGCTACTTCAACCCCCTTTGAGGATATAGCCACAGACCATCTAAGTTACAAATTATACATTACCAATATAAAATATAGCTATGTACACAATTCAAAATTTATCAAAAAGTTCAATTTCTTTTAAAAAACCTATGATTAAATGAGAATTGATTCTATTAAAAAGATCCTTAAATGATGATGATGTAAAATATTTATCCCTTGTGATGGAAAAATCAACACAGTCAAGCAGGACATGCTTGACGGTGATTCTCTCATCACAAGGGATACAAAACGGAGGATCCTCACCTTTCAATAAATAATCGTTTGTATACCTGCTATGGCCAATACGACATCGTCGTATTATGACCTCCTCAAATCTGGACTGACAGCCCAAGTAGGTGTAGCCGATAGTTGGTTTAAGTTCATGTAATTTATTTATACCTACTTGAGTGTCCCACTTCTTTTGCATTAGATCATGGATGTAAGTTCTAATTATGGGTTTAAAATCAGTGTATGGTAAAAGAAGTGGTGTCACAGATTTGGTGAGTGCTGCTTTTGCAGCAGCATCGGCCATTGTATTACCAATGATACCAACATGGCTTGGTAACCAACAAAAGACGATGTCGTACTGGCCAGTTTTGTAGTTCAATTATTTCACGTAAAAGTGGATGATGACAAGATATATTATTAATTGCCTGAAGACAGGAAAGTGAATCAGAAAAGATAATGAACCGTTTATGTTTAGATTGGGTATTTATATATTTAAGAGCAGTTAATATTGCCTGTGATTCTGCTGTAAAAATAGAACTGTCATTTGGTAATCTAGATGATATGGTTCTGGATCCAATGACAGTGGCGCTGGCAACAGCGTCACCATTCTTGGATCCATCTGTAAATATGGATTTGTAAGTATTATATGTGTTCCTTAATTCATTATATTGTTGTTGATAAATTAGTTGATTTGTGTCAGATTTCTTCAGTTTAGCTAAAGTTAGATCCACCTCTGGATGTACTAACTGCCATGG